ATGGTGTTTGAGAAATTTTTTGAACTTCGCTTTTCTGTGTGACTGCACACGTGACCTTCTGGTGGTGGAGGCTGGTGCATGACTGGGGCAGAGGGCCTAGTTCTGGGAGGAAAGAGTCCACTCCCACCAGTTTGGCACAGATCTTGCTGTGGCTGCTTCCTGGAACCTGGCAGAGGGGAACTGGGCAGTTCTCGGCAGAGACTTTCCAGAGGAAATGCTGTCATACCTGGCAAGCCCACAGGCCTGGGGTCTCCAAAGGGTGAGACTGTGGTGTCACAGGAAAGGGCAGAGACAGAAAGGGCAGTAGTTTTTCTTTTTTTTTTTTTTTAGGGCAGTAGCTTTTCTTGAGCACCTATTATGAGCTAGCCATTTCCAAGGATCCACAGTTTTGAGAGGAAGGAATTATTATTATTCACAAATCTGGATGAGGTTCAGAGAGGCCATAACTTGCTCTGGATCACAGAACCAGAAACAACTAAATCAGAGCTTGAACCCAGATCTGACCCTAAAGCTCCCACTCCATCCTTCGCCTATCTGACCTAGGGAAAACTCACAGGAGCTGTAAGGAGTCAGGGGGAGACAAGGCAGCTCCTGAACCCTGCTTGCCAAGTCTTTCCCTGGGTTCGTCAGTGAGAGGACGCCCAGGACAACCCCAGCTGCCTTCCTTTAGGTCAGTCATTACCTGGTATGGAAACAGGGGTTGTTTGCCTTGCGGAAAGTAGGTAAAGTGTTACAGAGAGGTCATGGTGAGGGCTTTGGTGGTCAAGGCGTGGCATACATGAAAAGCAGAACCCCTCTGGAGGGGAACCAGGCAACCCAGAGGCTTGGCTCCAGGAGTGGTGGACAGGGTCAGTGGCTGGTGCTACTGCTCTCCTACAGTGAGGAAGAACCTGGCTTGGCTGCTCTAGTGCCCACATCAGGGATGAGGCAGCATCTACAGTGTGGGTGGGTCACCCTCTTCAGCTGGAGGGAGAAGACATCCATGTGCCAGGGCCTGGGGCACCAAAGGTATGGGGCATCACAGAGCCAGGGCACAGCTGCACACACTAAGTCTGCGTCTACACCTCACAACAGCTTGGGCAGTCAAATAAGCCTTGCCATTCTGGGCAGCCCTCTGGGAATGCATCTGCTCCAGACACGCTTGGGTTTGCAGAATTCCTCTTTGGAAATCACCTTTGGGAACTACCTTGAACACAGGCAGCTGTTCTCCCAGCTCATCACCTCTGCTTTGTCCCAGGAGTAACACTTTGATGTGGTTGTCCCCTGCACCCTCTGGACCTCTGGGTGAGTCTGTGTTGTTCTTATATACTGAATCCCTTTCAAGGAAAGAGTGCTCAGCCCATGAAAAGGATTCACAAGAATGCACCAGAAGCGAGGACTGTGACTTTCAGAGAGTGAACCTTGGGGGTCTTTCAAGGGGACAGAATTTGGCTGGCTTCATAAATTCTGGGATGTTTGTAAAGCATTTGTTAGGAATGAGGTTGGTGGGGAATTTCCAGGCAACTAGGAAGACAGGAGGCAGCTGCATTCTGGGCCAGCTCCTGATTCCCAGGCAGCTCAAGGTGCCAGTGAGCCACAGTGGGGAACCCACAGTCTGGCTTTCTCCAAGGGAAGGCCAGGCTCTGTTTATTTCAGGCAATGAGGCTCTGGGCTTGTGGCCTTGGCCTGCTCTCCTAGACCTCAGCATTGCTGCTGTTGACAAGGTGCTGGACCCAGTCACCTCTGTCAGCATCTGCAGGCACAGGGAGGCGAGTGACAGCATGCTCTTCAGCATGTTCTTGCTCAGAGCAGCTCAAGGTATTTTTAGTAATTATCCCTCAGGAAGGACCTAGTGTTAGTACCAGGCTCCGGACAGATATGTGATCTCTTGCTTGCAAGTCTAACTGAACACCATTACAGTTCCTGTCATGCAGGCAATGAACTCAGTGACCAGAGAGAGTAAGTGACTTGCCCAAGAAGTCTCACAGCAGCAAGAAGGTCCAGAGTCTGACCCAGATACCAGGTGAACTTGGTTGCAGTCAGCCATGAGCACCTACCACCTCATCCTGTATCATTCTCAGGTCCACCAAAGACAACTTGGGGAAGAGCTAATCCTAGAATCACAATTCCTAACACAGGGAAGCTGAAGAACTTAGACCAGGATCCTGGGTATGGCACCGTGCAGCTCCAGAGTGGCCTGCAGGGGACTTGTTTCCCTTCAGAGATGGGTCCCAACACTCTAAGATCTGCAGGAGGGTGGCCTGCCCTCTCTGTAGCCTTCCTTCGGATCTGTCACACACATACTTCTACAAGCAGGCATGGTTTTCCCTGGCCCCTGTTAAGAATTCCTGTGAACAGAAGACAAAATTCCACTGGAATAGTCTCATTTGCTGGAAAGATTTTTCTAAACCTTTATTTCCTGAAGCTCATTTGAATATAAAAACTACATCATTCATTCCTTTACTCAATAATATTTATTACATACCTGTTCTACTCAGAGCTCTGGGGACCACAGTAAACAAGACAAGGTCTTCTCCCTCACGTAGGTAAGGGTTACGACAGGCCAGCTCCTTGCTCTGTCCAAGGAGATGGTGAGGTGCACCCCAGACAAGCCCTACTCTCTGCCCACCCTAGTTTCTGTCCCCCAGCAATTCCTGACAGGAGCCTTCACATCTCCATGTGCTCAGTGACAGAGAGCTCCTTTCCCTTTCCCAGGGCCCTGCCTTCTGTTCCCTAGGTCCCCTTGCTGCCAGTCTTTGTGTGGAGCTGAATTCTGCTTTCCCTCAGCCCCCACTGGGGTCCAGGTCTGCCATCTGTTCTTCATCCAATACAAGAGGCAAGAAAGGCAGCACCCCAGCACCCTATCGTGGTCCCTCAAATTATACCAGAGCAATGCAATTTCACCTCCTTTTCTGTCTGTTGCCACCTGCAACAGGAAATCTTGGCCCCAGACTGGTCCCTCTGTCTCATGGGCCACAGGTTTGTAGAACAGTTCAGGGACAAGGTGCCAAATGTGGGAAGTCTTCAGGAGGCTGAGTTGTACCCAGAGGTTCTGCTGTCCCATTTGAATGACCCAGGGAGATGTGACACATGACAGGGCAAAAAGCACTGGGCAGGTAACAAGCCACCTGTCTGGTGCCCTAACCCCTTGTCATCATCCCCACATCACAGGTCCCAGTGAATCCCCAAGGGAGAGATAATGGGCTGTTATTTAAAAGAATCCAATCTCATTCATTGGCTATGTCAACACTCAAGCTGAATGAGGAGCTGGAGAGCCAGGCTGGCCAGCCAAGGAGGTCAATATTGACTCAGGCTGCCTCTCGGCCCAGCTCCAGCGTGCTCAGACAGTGTGGCATCTGAGCCAGACCAGCCCCCTGACCTCACTTACTGAATCCCCTTCCTCTCCCAGTGCACTGTGCCACCTTTCCTTGCCATGTAATGACCTAAAGCATAATATTCCCTGGTGGGCGACAGGCCAGGGCCCCTCTCCCTATCTCAGAGTCCAACAGCCTCTAGACACAGAAGCCTGAGTCCTCTGCACAGAGCCCTAAATGCTGAGCCAGGAAGAATTTCTACAAGCCCTAGTCACAAGAGGGCCCTGTGCTTTTACAGCCCTTAACTTTTCGTATCTCTCTTTTATTTATCTCCCTGCTTTAGGCTCACAAACCATGTGAGACAGGTTGAGCCCACCAGCCCTATTTTAAAGTTGGCAGGCAAGAGACGGTAAGAAATGGCAAGATATGCATAGCAAGTGCCTACCACATGCGTGTCACGTACTGGGTGCTTTTTATTAGTGCATCTCATGGTTAATGGTAGATATTACAAGCTCTGTTTTATAGACAAAGAAGCCAAAATTTTACAAATGAAGCAACTGTCAAAGACAGTAAGTGTGGAGCTGGAACGCAAAGTCCCCAACTCCAAGTTCCAACATCATCTACCATGCCCAGTATCCACAGAAGTAAAATGACCCACCCTGGATCATACAGCTACTTGAAACAAACAAAACTGAGAGCTTTCATCCAAACACTCCCCATACTCAGGCTCCCCATGAACATACGCATACAGGTGACATGAACTCAGGATGCTGCTGTTTCTGCCATTAAATCTGGATCCATTTTAGAAATGGCCCCTTCCCTGGGCCCCTAGCATCTTTCACCACTCAGACTCCTTGGAGACTCCTGTCTTTACTTTACTTTTATTGTTTTGTTCCAACACCCTCCGACAGCATCTTCCCAAATGATCAGACCATTCTCAAAGTCCTCTAAGGGAGAAGGGCTCAGGGTAGCTTAACCTTTTCCAACCAGAGACTGGTGAGGCTGCCTCTGGAGCTGCTGGATAATTAGTACAGCAACTCCTCACAACTAGCCTGTGAGGACAGCCTCTCCATCCTTGTTTACAAATGAATCAAAAAGTTTGCAGAAAAGTAAAGCAACTTGCTTACGGAGCCAAAGTCAAAGCCAGGATTCAAACCCAGCTCTTCCTGGTTGCAAATGTGTTCTTGATCAACTGTCCTATACGTGGTCTGAGAACTCTCAAATATATGCTGCACAAATCACAAAAATGACCGTGGGCATAGAATGGAGCCTTTGCCCCACACTCCACCTAGAAAAACAAGTCAGAAGCCTCAGAGGAGTCCACTAGAATAAGGCAGGATATGGAGAAAGCAGTCCACGCTGCTACGCCACGTGTGGAATGCCACTCTGGGCATGTGAAGGTCTAGGTCAGTGTTAGCAAGTCTGGGCACGAGTGGCCTGGGTGACACTGCCTCGCCCCAGTCAGGCTGACAGTCAGAGGCTGGGCGAGGCCTGGGGCAGGATGTCTGAAGCTCTACTCACTGGCACTGGGGCTGAGGTGCTGCACCCACTAAGGATTGAGAAACAGCACCTAGAAAGGGCATGGGGCTGCCCACGGAGCAACCAGGAGAGCCACCTGCCTGCCCGCAGTCCCTCAGCAGGCTCTGGAGGGCCCTCACTCACCTCTGGGCCGCTTTCTCCGCCTCCTCTTCCTGGAGTCTCCTCCCTTCAGCGGTCAGCTCTCTTAGGCGTGGAAGAGCAGACGACCAAGGAGCCTCCCTGGCCGGTCCTTCCCAGGCCTAGGCAGAAATACGTTGTTACAGATACAGTAAGTGTCCGCACAGATTCTGCGACTGGCTGGAGACCAGGGGGCTGGGAACTGCCCCGTGCCGGCCGCTGACTGAGCGTTCCTGGGGCCCAGGCTGGGCGGTGGGCGCAGTGCACCCGGGTAGGAGCCTCCCCAGCCGGCCACGGCCACCGCGCCCCTGCGCTCGGCAGCGCCAACGCGGAGGTCCGTAGTGCTCCCGGGCCCCGATCCAGCCGTGCCCGCGGCAGAACTTTGAAGAAGCAGAGACCCTGGAAGGGGGTGCGCGTGCGGGGAGGGCCGGCCGGCCATCGGGCACCCACCTGCCGCGCAGGAAGCCCGGGAGCGCTCTCGAGGCCGCGGTCCTGGCCCGCCCTCCGCGGGAGGGACCTCGGCGGGGAGCGCGGGAGGGGCCGCGCTGCATGTTTGCGCAGCGCCGCCGCTGCGCACCTGGCCGCCAGTTTGATTTCAGGGTGTGGCCTCAGGTAGGACGAAGCGAGCGCGAGGCCCGGGAAGACTTGCCAAGGGGCGCCGGGGGTGGAGCCTCTTTGCCGAGGGTTGGCGGGGCCCGGCGCCTTGCCTGACTCTGGGCTCCAGCCCCCACCACCTCCAGCCAGGACCCAGAGGCTGCGCCCGCTACGATCCGCCTGCTTGCGGCGCGAAGACCCAACCTAGATTAAGGGCTGAGCGCTAGCCGTGTGCGGTTCACTCTTTCATTTGCCTTGCAGATGTGCGCGCTGGGGCCTGCCCAGCCTCCGGCTGCTGAGAGGTGTCGTGGGCGCCCACCCACGCATCCCGTACAGACTGAGCTGGAGTCCTCAGCCTGGCACCTGAGTCTGCCTGTCCTGTGTGGACGAGGACCCGAGACTGGCTTGGGGTAGCCTTCTTGTGCAGACAGGAGAGCAGGGTTTAGAACGATCCCAATTCCTGTGTTGCGCCTTACTTACTCCTGACCTCAAGATTCCAGAGTAGGGGACCTTGGGAGAGAGAAAGCTTCCAAGAGCACTACACCCTGAAACAGAGGAGGTGGGACCCGCACCGCACCGGGGCCTTCTACTTAAATTTCCATTCTATTCGATCCCCGGGTGGTGTTCCATTTGTCCCCATCACTGCCCTCACCAAAAACCGAGAATGACCGTTTTGTGTATCTCCCTTTGGGGTGGGTTGGGACAGGTTGCCTTGCTTCTTTGGATACAGCCTGGTTTCTGCGTCGGGGGCAGGACAGGGGCCACTTTCCCCTAAGAAGGAATTGAGAGGATGATCCTTGCTGTCCTTGGTTTGGGCCTCTAGATAAGGCTGTGTGCTGGCTGAGTGCTGAGGGAATTCTGGCTTGGAAATTCGGTACATCTGGACCCCAAATGGCTGACTTCAAGTGGCGGCTGGGTGGTTGCCATGTCACAGAGCAGGGACTGCTTTTTAATTTTTTTAAAAAGTTTTGTAATCTTTGTTGGGTATCTGAAATTTCAGTTATCAATTGAGTTCACTATTGCCGCTCACTTTTGTTCAACGATTCTTTACGTATCAGTGCTACTTATGGATAAATCAATTGCATTCTGAGCTCTATTGCTATGCAGTTTATTGTAAGGCTCTCACCAGCTAGAGCTAAGGTGATCCGGGGGGACTCACCAGCCCCATGCCCGGCCTATGCCCTGTGTTTGGCTGCACCACAAGTCCCCGTCTCCTCAGCTTCCCCAGGGAAGGTACGGATGGTGTTGCTGGCCCTGTGTCCTGTGGGAGGGTTTTGTGGAAGCCAAGGCAACTGACCACCAGTCTTCTGCCACCTCCCAACACATGCGTGGATGTCCATAGCCTCCGTTCCCTCTCTGTATGCTCCCCTGTCATTCCTGAGTTTATTCTTTCTCTTTCCTTTCACTGGACACTGTAGGCAGACTCTGGGCCAAATTAGCTTCTGTGGCCACAAAGGAAGCTGACTGCTGAGTTCCTTAAAGGAGCCATGGGAGAGTGACAAGGGAAAGGACACAAGTGTGGCTCTGCCCACAGGTTAGTTATCCAGGGACACTGGTGCACTGGCCTAATGCTGGCTGCAGGAAGAAGGTTGTGCTGTATGGAGCCTGGACAGAGAAAGAGTGCTTGCTGAGGGTTTGAAACAAACCACAAACCAAAGTTAACATGAAGTGTGTTATGTGGTTGAACCCAGAATTAACACCCTAAATTATTTTTTTTCCTAAATTACGTTTTGCAGGTTCACAGGTGCATAGGTGGATTATTTTTCTAACACAAATGCTTTGTATGCCAAAACCACAACTGGAAACCGTACTTTTGAACTATTGAACTATAATTAAATGCAGTATTAGAATATTATCAGAAATGAACTGGTATTTAACTTGGTTTGAGAGTCTCATGCTCTACCAACTGAGCTAGCTGAGCACCACTTAACTTGGTTTGCATCCAGGTTTGGGTATCAAAGAATGGCCCTAGCTAACTCCCATCCTCACTCTTAGGGAGAAAGTCTAGAAAACCCGGAGTTCCCTTCACTCTTGGGAGCTGCAGTGGGCTTGGAGACTCAAGAGAGGCAGAGGCTGCCAAATAAGACTGACCATCACTGGAGGTAATCAAGAATAGCTACCATTTAAGTATGCCAGAGAAAAAGTTCCCATGCTGAATGTAAGACTGGGGGACTTCTTGGGCCAACCCCAGCACCACCCTTCTGTGCCTCCAGTCTTCTCCACATGTGGTTTTGCTACATGGTTTGGATGAGGCCATGCATGTTGGGATGCCCGGGACCTGCAGCCTGGTTCTGAGTGATTACTTCCTATGTGTCACCTCCTCCTTCTCTCTTCCCCTCTGAACCACGGCTAGCCTAGCCTTGCTCAGGAGAGAACAGAATGGCGGTATGAGAAATATCTGAGGCAGTCTGGAAGACAGCACTTTCTCCAATATACAAGAGCCTCCCTTCAGCCCCCTTTCCTTCTCAGGTTGCTTTACCAAGCAGTGGAGTGGGCGGCTGCCACCCTCTTCTGAAGAGCCTTGGCAGCTGGCATAGGTCTGGCTAAAGGAGCTGATCAGGCACTGCCATATTATAAACTGGGCAGGAGCTCTGGACAAAGACATCAAGAACAGATATTCCCCTGCCTGCTCTGGGAAACGTATGGGCTGCCAGGGCCCTACGGCAGCACTTTCCAATCCTTTTTCAGGCTGTCAGGCCTGTTGTAATATCTGAGCACCAGCAGCCAGGGCTGAGAGCCCAGGTTAGGGCCAAAGAGGAAAGATAGGAATCAGCTTGTGGTTTAGGAATACAAACACAATATCCTCTCGCTGGGCCTTTCTGCTCATGACTTGAAAAGCTTCTTGGGAATCAGGAACCCACTAAGCTCTCTTTCTCCTTGCTGAGCTTCTCACTTGGGATAGCTCTGCCCTCCCATGATAATAGTAACAATAATGCCTGCTAATTACGGAATGCTTCCAGTGGGCCAGCCTCACGCTAAACTGTGAGTATTGTCTCCCTGAGTTTTCACAGTCCCAGAATGTAAGCATAGTACGGTTACCTTTTTCATTTCACAGATGAGGACTCTGAGGTGCAGAGCGGTTAAGGAACCAGCCTAGGCTTATAATTACCACTACATACTAAATGTTTATACCTCTCTCCAAATTCACATGTTGAAATCTAATCACCAGTGTGAGAGTATTAAGAGGTGAGGCCTTTGGGGGTAAAACTAACTCATGAGAGCAGAGCCCTCATGAATGGGATTAGTGCTTTCATAATAGAGCCATAGGAGGTTCTAGTGAAAAGACAGGATCTGCTGCAGGCTTGAGCTTCCATTTCTCACCTCCCAGAACTGTGAGAAGCAAATTTCTATTGTTTATAACGCACCCAGTCTATGGTATTTCGTTACTGCAGTCCACATGGAGTAAGCTAGTTACTGAATGGAGAACCAGAATCTGACTATGAGCGTGCAGGAGTCCGACCCAGTCCTCTTAATTCCTGCTGCTCAGAAAGTCCTGGTGTCGGGGCTGGGGATTTAGCTCAGCGGCATAAGCACCTGCCTTGCAAGCAGGCGGTCGTGAGTTCGATCCCTGGTACCGATAAAAATGAAAAAGACAAAAAAAAAAAAAAAAAAAAGAAAGTCCTGGTGCCAAGGACTATCTGAATAGCTGATGAGAGGCCAATGCAGATCACTGCCCACAAGCCAGTCATGTGAGCTACGGGGGATGGAGGGACATGCCCCGCTGCTACTTCTAAGCACGGGGATCCCAGTCTAGAACTCAATATGAAGGGCTTGAGGGGTCAGTGAGTCTCCAGATGTTGAATTCCCTAGTCGTGAGCCAGCACGCTGCATGAATTCCCTGCATCTGCCTCTCCCCAAGCCACCTGTCCTTCACAGATCCAAAATTAGCTTCACATCAGGCCCACGTGCAGGGACGTAATGGAGAGGAGGGGACAACACGTCTGCTTGCTCCATAGTAGGAAGAGCCCCTGCCACACCAGGCATAGGGAGCTATGGAGCCCATTTTGGTGTGACACAGAGCATAATCCCAGGGTTCTTCCAAAATGCTGTCACTATTACACCATTAACTAGGTTTATCCACTTCAGATCCCAGCCCTATCTGGGGACCATTTTAGTGTTTGAGAAAAGACCAGGGGGCCCTAACTGGCTTCTGAGTGGTTCTGTCATGCTGATATCCTGGGCCTCTGCAGGGAAACTATCCCCCCCCCCCCAGCCTCAAGCCTTTCTCTGCTCCTTCTTTTTTTTTTCCTTGGTGCCGGGGATCAAACTTAGCGGCCTAGCATTTGTCAAGCAGGCATTACGCCGCTAAGCTAAATCCCCAGCCCACTCTGCTCCCTTTTTCTTGAGTTCTGGTCTATACTAGCCGGGCTTTGCCAATGGACTATATGAGACTGTCCCTCTAGCACAAACTGGCACGGGGGCAGACACTGTCTGATGTCCCAAAGGGTCCTGGAAACTTGAGATGAGCCACTGAGGTGCAGGGACCACCACAGGCTATGGCACCCCCCCCCCCAGGTCCGTGGGGGTGGGAACTGAACTACCCTGGGAAGGGCTGGG